CCCCTCTGTCTCCCTCTAGCCCCCTCCCTCCCTTCCTTCCACTCTCTCTGAAAAGCAATGTAAAAAATATCCTCTGGTGAGGATTAACAACAAAATTAAAGCATGCCCTCGATATTAATTTTAGCCATACATTTATGCATAAATGAAAATATTTTGTATGTGACAGCTTCATCCCTGTCAAATTTCATTTTATGAGTTAACCTTTTTAATTTTATTAATCCTTTTTAATTTTCTTAATGGCACACAAAATTATATTAGAACTTAATAGGCCATTTTAAAGAAGGATTTGAGTGGGATTTTTTGTTTTTCATTTTTTGTTTGTTTTTGGCCTCTCTTCAATGCTGGAATTGACAATTTCCTAAAGTAAACTTTTTTCCCCTGCCTTTTCACTATCAATCCAATTTCTCAGCCAGAAAATAAGATTTTGTTTGTTTAAACTATTTGTTTTTAAAAGATCTATGTACTATTTAAAATGAGGCCAACAGTGCAATTCTAAAATGTTCCTAAATGTGATATCTTAGTAATAATCTAAGAAAATACTTCGTTGGATTTTTTTTTTTGTGGCACTACAAAGTGACAGTCAATAAATGATTCACTTATTATAAGCATTCTGGCTATAGGAGATTTCTTAATTGCACAATTGTCACTGAACGGTAACACCATTGTGCATTTGGAAGCAATTTTAAGTGTTCAGTATGTACATTAATTCCCATTCTTCACATCAAAGCAACACTTCAAATAAACAAAAATCTATGACAATTAGTAAACATGCAGTTATTTTAAAATGTGCTATCATTGTTGCATAGCAACTACTGATTTTATTATGTACTTTTTACATACTCTAAAATAATTAAACACAGGCACAAATTGCTATCTATTTTTTTGAATGTTAAAAGCATTTAAGTTATGAAGTTTATTCTAATATGTGTATTATATATTTATAAAGGGAATACTTCATTCCTACACAAAGGCACAGTGACCCAAGAAAGAGATGACAGTGTCATATTAGTGATTCTTCTTTCTCATCAGAGGACTTTTAGGGAACTTTTTATTCATAGTTTCAATAGCTAACACAGCTAAGACATAATTATCATATCTTGGCTTTACTGGTCTGGATCTTGATCTACTGCTAAGCTGAGTGATAAGATTTATTTTTATTTATTTTTTAATATATCTTTATTGATTTCAGAGAAAGGAAAGGAGATGGAGAGAGAGATAGAAACATCAATGATGAGAGTCATTGATCGGCTGCAGCCCACAACCCGTGCATGTGCCCTGACCGGGAATCGAACCCTGATCACCTGGATCCTAGGTCGACGCTCAACCGCTGAGCCACGCCTGGCCGGGCTGAGTGATAAGATTTATTAACAAGAAGTCATGTCCTCTCAACAAAATAAAATGTTATAGAAAAGTATACTGTCAAAATACATTTATGATGTAATTAATTTATCAGAAAGATATCATGGTTTTACTAAGAACTTACAGAATTCTACATAGGTTTATTTTCATCATCAAATTAACTTAGCATAAAGCAAGAATATAATACTCTTATATGGTCAGATGCTAACACTAACTTGGTGGACTTGCTGTGTTAGCCCCTCAGGGACAAGGTACAGTGAGCAGTAATACTAGAGTGGATCGTGAAAGCAGAGAGTGCTCCAGTAGATTGCATTTGAAAGTCCTTCATGGGGTGTGGCTGAGGAGATGAGAAATTTCTACACAAGCAAAGGCAGGAAAGTTCACTGTATCAGTCTAAGAGGAGCTAAGGAGTTTGAGGGAAAAGAAGGACCTGTAAGTCTCTATCCATGTTACTTTCATCAGTGAAATTTCTGAGTCAAAGATGGGACGTTTACAATCTCTCTTCATACTTATTGCGAAGCTGCTCTCCAAAAGGTGGCTGTAATTTCCAGTCCCTTGAAGAGTGAGTATGAAAGACTATCTCACTAGACCTTTAGCATACTGCAAAATCCACTCTACCAACTGGGTCTGCGAAAATGAATCCCTCATTGTTTTAATTTGCACTTTTTGGATTGTTAGTTAAGTTGATCACTTTTTTGTTTTTTTAAACATGGATTGGTAAAGATGGTGGGAAGTGAATAAGAACAGATTAGCCAATTGAGCACACTGAGGCTAATAAAAATTAGAAAGAATTAAAAAAGTGTGAGCTTTAAAGAAGAAAAACACTGTGCTACAAAATTAAACAAAATAAGAATGAGAACCTTAGAGCAACTTTATTTCATATTCTAAAATTTAATTGTTGCCCATATGAAACCTCTGGCGTAGTGATCATTTTTGTTACAGCCTGGATGTGCTGTCCCTGAGGGACAAGGGAAGGAGGAATGACTTATAGCAAGCCAGTACTAGCCGAGAGTATGGCCAACTGTGTGAAGATTGGAAATGAAAGTGACAGATTAATAATTGACCTGAGCCAGCAACAATACCTAAAAGGTTTCAGTCCTGTAGATGGCAGAGTGAGGGATTCCAGGTGGATATGTGGCAACGGCTTGTTGCTTGAGGTTACAAGTGTAGGGTCTAGTCACCAAAGAGAAGAACCTGATAATAACCAAACAGGGTGTCAGGGCTTTAGTCAAGCAGTCTGAATTAGTAGCTAGCTCTAGTTCTAGATGCAAATTTAAGTTATAATCAGCAAACCAAGGCAGAGGTTAGTGGTAGGGATAGGTAGCTAATGGGGAAGAAAAAGAGTTGGGAAGGCTTCAGTGCTTTGTGCATTGGTCTAAGAAATTCCAGAAGGAACCAAATGTGTGTATAGAAGCAAAGAAATCTATTTGGAATAGTCTTCTGGCAACCAAACAGAATGTTTAAAAAGCAAATAAGACACATGCTGATGAAAGCTACATTATCGTTACCTTCTCCCTCCGGTTATCATTATCCAACCGCTCCTGTCTAAGGGTTTCCTGCAGCTGCTCAATGTTTTTCTGATGTGAAATCAGCATCAATTCTCTGAAAACCATAAACCCGACAAATGAGTCAAGTCTCACCCCTAATACTCTTACTAAGTTGTACATCTTGACTCAGAGAATATAATTCACAACTTAGTCTGTTTATTCTCTTTGACAATATATATACTGCTACTAGATATGATTTTAAATGTTAACAGCAATTCACAAACACTGCATATAAGGCAAGTATTTTCTCAGGCTTAATTTCTGTGTGATAAGTAATGTTATTTGTACATGAAATAGTAACAACATATATGGAATCACAAACATAATAAAATGTTATACATTGTGGTTCTAAAGTATATGACTAAATTCTAACAGTAGACAATATTTTGTTTCTTCAAAAAAGGAAATTATATTGGGATGTGCTATAAAATCAACATGTTTGTGGTGTCTGCTAAATTTATTTTTCTTTTACTTACCTCAAATACTGATAGAAACAAACCAAATTGAGAGGGTAAAGCCTGAGATGTGGTATGGTATAGCACAAAACGTATTAGAAAACTAAAAACACAAAGAACATTTTAATCCACAAAAATGGATCTTAAAGCTTCGTGTGTGATCCTTTGGGTGGAGGTAATATGGGCGACTCATGAGAACCTTTCCCAGGGGCACTGAAATTAAGCCTTTGACTATCACAAGTAAAGGCAAAAGCATGTTTCTTGCTCAGGGCTCTTTCCTGTTTCTAAAATCACCATGACTTTTCTTACTATCCGTGCAGATGATGCTTCTCCATTGCTTATTCCTCTTTGTAAGCCCTTTGTTTCCCATCACCAATCTCTTCCTTCTAGCTCTGATCCCTTTTCTCAAACTTGTGACTTGCATTTATAACTGCTGTTGGGCATCTCTATCCTAATGATCCATCAACACCAAAGATTTCGCCTGGCCAGGGAGGGCTCAGCGGTTGAGCGTCAACCTGGGATCCAGGCGATCAGGGTTCGATTCCCGGTCAGGGCACATGCCCGGGTTGTGGGCTCAATCAATGACTCTCTCATCATTGATGCTTCTATCTCTCTCTCTCTCTCTCCCTTTCCTTTCCCCTCTCTGGAATCAATAAAGATATATTTAAAAACAAAACAAAACAAAAAAACACCAAAGATTTCAAACATCAAAAAAACATATTCACCGTCATCTCCTGCAATCTTGCGTTTCCTTTTGACTTCTGAAAACCTTTCTTTACAGTCAGAATCTTTGCTTGAAACCCCGAGTTATCTCTGACTTCCTCCATGTTCTACCACATCCACTCGGCAACAAGTCCTATCTATTCTGCTTCCTCTGTGTCAAACTATTTCTTCCCTTCCTTCCTCATTGCCAGCAACTTGTTAAGGTTCTTGACTTTATCTCCCACCTAGAGTATTTTAACAGACTCTAGTCTATCTCTTAATCTCTATTCTAGTCTCACTCATAATATTATTAAATTTTTTTTTACCATAATGAAAATAGTGCCGCCTACATTTCTAGTCTAGAAAATTTTAAAGATGCAAACATAAGACGACACATTTAACTTGGTAATCAGAAGTACAAATATCACTTGAGGGAAATTGACTGGAAAAACGAAACTCTCCAGGTTTCTCTTTCCAGCAATGTGTTGGACTAGGTACCTTGACAATTTTTTACTAAAAATAAGTAAAGTCATTTTTTCATTATTAAAAAAAATCTAAAAATTCATCAATAAACTGGACAAAAAGTGAGAAAAATGAAGAGAACAAAACTCATGTGAAAGAATGGAAAAAGATATCAGTGGAAAACTACTGGAATCTGAAAAAAATCTGTAGGTTAATTAATTATATTATACCAATATTAATTTCTTAGGTTTTACAGAAAACTGGCTATGCCATGGTTAAGAAAGATGGGGTAAAGGGAAACATCACCTCTCTGTACTGTCTTTGTGACTTTTCTAGAAATATAAAATTATTCCAAACTAAAGGTTAAAAAACTGAAATGAATGGAAGAACCCCAGCATTAAGTAGAGCATTGAAGCGAACTTTCATCTTGCAAGTACTTTCCAAATCTGATGAACTTGAGCTTTAAGATTTACAGCCATGAAGGGCACAGGACTCAGGAGACAAAGGAAGAGTCTACGAGGAAACTCACCTGAATGAAGTTACATCTCAAAGAGCTACTGATAGTATATGTGTGAAATTCATACTCAGAATGTGTAAAATACAAATAATATCTCTTCTCGAGGTACAAAAAGAAAATTACTCGCTTTGAATTTTGGTGCTAGGTAGAGGGGAAAATACAAATATCCCATAAGAATTTATAAACACAAACCAACCCTAATGCAAATTTGTATCCTGAATTCATATTACCTGAGTGGTCCCAAAAGCTTCATGTTGAGAAGATAACTTAATGTGGTGCTAGGTTAACCTTGTCTCCTAGTCTGGTAGGAAAACACCAATATTTTGGGGAGAAACCTATCTAAAACCTGGTGTACAAAGAATTCCTACCAATAAAGATATAAGACCTCTGGGATCATAGTGTTTAAAATCACAAAACTATTTTTTAAAAGCCAAAAAGAGAAAGAATTAGCAAACAAAAGACAGCATAATCAAACTTCCAAAGTATTGAATTTTCAGATACAGAAAATAAGTATGTTCAATAAAGTAAAAAAAAAAAAAAAAAAAGGGGTTTTAAATGATTAATTAAATTTGAAAAAGAACCAAATTGAACTTGTAAGAATGACAAATATGATCATTGAAATCAAAAACTCTGTGAATGGTCTTATAGCAGACTATTCATAGCTAAAAAATGAAGTAATAAACTGAAAGGGACATTCAAAGAAATTATACAGCGTGCAGTATAGGGAGTCAAGAACATAAAAACGTGAAAGAGAAGTGGATATATGGAGGGCAGAGGGAAAAGATCTCATATATATCTATTCATTATTTCAGAAGAAAAGGAGAAATATCTGAAGAGCATATTTCATACTGGTGAAAAACAACCACCACAAATCTAGAAGCCCAATAGATTCTAAGTAAGACAAATAAAAATAAATCTTACACATAAGCACCTGGTAGTGTAAATGAAGAACATGAAAGTTAAAGAGATTTTAAAAGAAGTCGAAGAGAAAAAAACTGCATTATCTTCAAAGGAACCCAAACAAACCGAAAACTTATTTTCCAGCAGAAACAAAAAAAGCCAAAGACAGCAAAATAATATGTTCAAAATCTATGAGAAAATAACCATCAGCCTAAAGCTGGGTACCCAACAAAACTATCTGTAAGAATGAGGCTGAAATAATTATGCTCAGATAAATAAAACCAGAGTGTTTACCACTAGCTAAAGGGTCTTTACTTAAGGAGCTTCAAAGAATACACTTTGCAGAAAGGAATATATTCAGAAGGAAGGTCAGACATGCAAGAAGAAATGGTGAGCAAAGTGACAAACACACAGGCAGGGAGGGCTTCCCGGGCGTGTATGCTCAAGCCAGAGGTACAGGACCCATTCTTTGAAGAAGACCCTGTGCTTCTGCTTTAATGCTCTGTGGTCACTATTGAGAGATTCTTAATAATTTTATCTTTGAATTTGTGTTTTATAAGTGAGGGATAATTGAGCATGTGCCGGGCGTGGAGTTTCAGCTCACACACAGTTCTACATCCTGCCACCTCTCTGACTCCCCAGGACGGTTCTCAGCCCCCTGCTCCCTGCCCCTTATCATTTGTTTCCATCCTCTGCTTTGGGAGGGTATCCAGGCTGGGTACAGGCCTGGGGAAGGTGGAGATGGGGCATGTGTGCTCCCTGTGCTGAGTCATGGGGCACGGCCCTGGGTGCCTGTGAGAGCCTGCACCCACCCCATGATTTCCCTGTGCCCAAGGGAGCGCAGCATTTAATAGCAAACAAACAAACAAACAAACAAAAACCACCACCATGACAGGATGAGAAAGACCGTGAAGGAAAGGAAATAGCTTTTTCCAGTTTTTGAAGAAGGGCCCTACACTTTTACTTCGCACTGGGCCCTGAAAATTATATAGCCAGTTCTGCGTGTAGGTAATTATAAACAAATATCATCTGTATAGAAGAATAGTTCTGACGATGTGTAACTAATGGGGCTAACAAAAGACTAGAACAGAACACTGGAGAAAAATGTATTTCAGGATGGCAACTATCAGAGCTCAAGTGTTCTCTGATCCTTGAAATATCTGCAAGGAGTTTGAGATATTAAATTTAGACTTCTCTGAGTATCCATGGTAAAATTTCAAGAGAAATAAAGGGAGAGACCAAGGTGAGAGAACGGGCAGGTGGGTAATACGGGGGGGTTTAGGGACCACTATGCACACTATGGACCAGGCAGCATCATCAGGCCTTGGAGGGACAGAGGTGAATTAGGAAGGCAGGGTCCCTGTGCAAGTGGTGCTCAAAATCCAGCAATGTAAAAGGAAGCTTTATCTTTTAAAGTGTGAGGAGACCTCGCAGGTGCTGCCTGCCCTGCAGTCTCCAGGCTGGAGAAAAGGAGGTGAAGCAGAAGGAACAAAAAGTGAGGACAGCAAACGTGGGACTCCATTCAAACCTCTTAGGGCTTTCCTCCAAAGCTGGGGCCAGTCCTGTCGCCTTTGCAGGCAAGCTCATCTTCCTCTTGGCAGTTAACATTTGTGTTCTCAGCACTTTGTTTTGGACCTTTTTATTTTCTCTCTTCTTTCTCTAGGTGATCTTATCTACTCTTATGATTAAAATGCAATATAGATGCTGACAGTTCCCAAATTTTATCTCTAGCTCATATCTGTTCCCTGTGTATCTGACTCATGTATCAAACTCTCCACCTGACTGTTCTAAATTTATATTTCAGAGACATCTGAAACTTAAGATGTCCGTAATTTCAGAGGCTTATAATACTAGTTTACTTTTTGCTTGTTAGGTGTCGTCTTCTGCTCTGCTCCACTTTTTGTTCCAGGATGCAGCCGAAAGAGCAACTCTTACCTGGGTATGCTGATTTTGTGACTCACAGAAAACTTGCCAAAACACAGGATTTGTTAAAGTTCTGCTTAGAATTGGTACATCTCA